AGATTAGCAAACTATCTGTTGAATTTTTATTTTCATTCATTTCTTTTGTGAGTAATTATAAGTTGCATAATGTTTAAACTATTTAAAGTAAACAAAAAAAATCATTCTAATGGAGATGTATTTGCATAACTCAATCATTACTTTACATACCCACCTCTCACTGGTGCAGCGCTTAAAGTGGCTGCCTTGTCTTCATCATATTTGTTCAGCTGTCATTATAAATGGCCTGCAGCATTCACAAAGGGTCAGCATTTCCACTGGGTAGAAACTCATTCTGATGGGGAAGGAGACATGTGAGGCAAAACTAGTTGCAACAATGAAAGTGAAACTCTGGAACAATTATGAGCTACAGAATGTAGTTGTTACAACCTGCAGACATTTCTGGCAATGGTAGGTGTGTGTTATGTATTGTTGTATTGTCTGTAAAGAGATAGGACCTAATTAGTGAGGAGCTAATTGTACGGATTGGCATTCTGTGGACGGCATTTCATGGCAGCGCTAGAGAGTCAGCTATTGTCTACCATGGCACTGTTCTCAGCAGTCTCTCGAAAGACTCTAAAGAGGGATTATTTCCAACATTCAGAGACCAGAAATCAATTGGAGCAAATAGTGATGAAAACACATAACTGCGGTTGATTAAGAGATGAAATTCTGTTGTGAAGTAGATTTGTGAATGCTTCAATTTCGTTTTAAATGTCAAGCCTTGGCTGGCTGATGTCTAGTGAAGGGAATATGATGTGTAGGTGTGCAGAGTAAGCGTGAAAGGTGTATAACAGAATTCCCTCATGTGTTTGGTTAAGTGCTCAGCGGATTAGGGAGAACAACTTGTGTTGAAAGGTTTCTCTTTAAAATTTTGTTTGTTGCATCTCAATCATTTCAAGGTCAGTCAGTGTGGGTTAGATTCAGAAGAAAGCTCCAGCACCTAGCCTAGAATAGAGAGAGGTAGAATAAGCCCAGACTAAGATAAATTAATATTGTTAAAAGGAGACAAGAAGTCAAAGCTCATTAGCTTGCCTTCATAAAGAGTAGAGTAGTGCATTATATTTTACTGTATTGTGAGCACTGTATAACATACTGAATTCTGAAGACTGGTTTGCTCAGCTCAGATTGCCCCTGGGCACTTGCAGAATTAATCAGTTGGCTGAATATGGAATGGTTGTGCAAAGCAGTGCAATAAACTGTAATTCAGAAAAAGTGTGGCTGGCATGCGATTGGATGGTCTCACAGAAATGAAAATAGTTTTTGCACCTCATCAGCGACCTTGCTCCTGCCAATGAGTCAAATACAACCACCAATCACAGCATCAATCCAATTCAGTTGGATTCAGGACTGTGCTCCCGCTGAGACTGCATCTCAAAGTATTAAAAAAAACGCAAAAATAACAGCTTTAAGAAAAGGAATCGTGCAGTCAGTATTTTCCCTGAAACAAAATGTTTTAATAAGTGTAAATGAACAGAAATGACCAGAACAACCTGTCACCTCGTTGCCTAACGAGAGGGATCGTTAATCTGATTGAGAGATGCTGCAGCGTTTTCTCTGTGTCATCACCATGACTGCCTGTTTCCATCTCTATAACATCTCCTAACTGGGACCCACCTCAACTTGTCAGCTGCTGAAGCACTCATTCACCCCCTTAGTACTGAGAGACCTTTATTACCAATAAACCTTTATTTCCTATTGACTGGACTATCCCAATGCAGTCCTGGCTGGTTTCCCACATTTAATCTTCATCAAACGACAAGGTTGTCCAAAAATCTGCTGTCTTAACTTGACCCAAATCACATTTTTCTCACACCCCTTTTCCAATTGACCTATTGGTGGCCAGTTGAGCAGCATTTTGTTGTTAAAATCATCATTTTTAGCAGCCATGGCCAAATGTCTGCCTCTCCTCTAGTTCCACAACTTTGACACCCCTTCCCTCCATCTCTCCCTGGGATATTGAATCACTTCACCACCTTCTTTACTTGCCTGGGATAGCTCATCCCCTCCAATCTCGCCACCTCACTTTCCTCCTTCGAGACATTTCTTAAAACCTACCTTTGACCAAACCCTTGGTCATGTGACCTAACAATTCCTTATTCAGCTGAGTGTCATATTTTGGTTGATAATGCTCCGATATTGAAACATTGAGAATAGGAGCAGGAATAGGCTATTCAGCCCGTTGAGCCTGCTGCAACATTCAATATGATTTTGGAAGATCATCCTACTCAGTCCCCTGTTCCTATTTTCACATGTATCCTTTGATATATCAGCACCTTTCTTGAAAGTCTTCAATGTTTTGGCCTCATCAGTTTCCTGTGGCAGAGAATTTCCACACACTTACCACTGGGCAGATGAAGAAATTTCTCCTCATCTCAGTCCCCAAAGGCATACTCCTTATCCTAAGATGGTGACCCTGTGATGTACTTGGTATGTTTTCTGACAGTAAAGTTGCAATTCAAATACAAATTGTTGTTACAGAGCGGTTCACTGTATATTTCTAGAATTTTCTATTTTATTCAAAACCAAGGCATCTCGAAGTGAACTAACCTGAACTGTTCTGGCATTTTTAAGTCAAGCCTCTCCTGTCTTTAGAGGTAGCATATTAGCATGGATAGGGAATTGCTTAACTAACAGAAGATAGAGTGTTGGGGTAAGGGGAACATTTTTAGGATGGTAACCTGTGACTAGCAGAGTGCCGCAGGGATTAGTGCTGGGGCCACAATTATTTCCAATGTAGTTTGCTTCCACTTGTGGAAGAGTCAAGGACCAGAGGACACCATCTCAGAATAAGGAATCACCCTTTTAACTCAGAGCTGAGGAGGAATCTCTTCTGTGGAATTCTTTATCGCAAACAACTACAGACGTTGGGTCATTAAGCAAATTCAAGGCTGTGAGAGACAGGTTTTTATTCAGTAAGGGAATCAAGGGTTATGGGGAAAGGACAGAAAAGTGGAGTTGAGAATTTCACATCAGCCATAATCTCATTGGATGATGGGGCAGACTCAGTGGGCTGAATGGCATACTTTTGCTCCTATATCCTTTGGTTTTCCTTGAGAGGATTCTCAAGATATGCTGACTACGTATAATCGTTGTTAGAAAGTCAGCACTTCCCAATTATTATGTATCATGCACAGTGCAATGGAGTTAGAAAAGAACATTGGTCCTGTTATAAATGAGACCAGACTAGATCCCCTCAAAATATTTTAAGAAGGTAGCCTAAATCCTAACCTTTTCTTATTTTTAAAGGCAAATGCAAAGTGCCTGTTCTAGATGCAGTACCACTGGTCAAAGTACTCGACATTAAGCAAAACACTATTTATTTAAACACTGTAGTTAAAATACAACCAAAGAAAGAGGAATTTAGAATAATAACTCTATTTGAAAACTTAACAAATAACAGATACAGTAACTATTATAATTAACTGTTCCAATACAGTAATATCCCATAAACACACTCCTTGGCAAAAAGATAAATTCAGACACAGATTCTCACATGCAGTTCTCCAATCCAGGAGGAAAAGGCATCAAGAGAAAATTCAGAGAGATTAGCAGCCAGGAGACATTCACTGAAGCTTATGACTCTGTTGAGACCACAACAGCTTCCAATGCTATTGAGAAACCAAAACCCAGAAATCCTAATCTGTGAGAGCTAGCCACACCTATTCACCCATGGCCTCCCAGCTGTTTACCTAAGTGGTCTTAACTGGCCAGCTCGGTACCTTTTGTTCAATCTTCTCTTAAAAGGAACCAGGACAAAATAACCTTTTTAAACTATAACATTGTCGCAGTTCTCATGAACAGTTTACTGTTCAGAGATCACATTACAGAATCTGAATGCTTGCAACATCTTAAACTAAACTGCTGTTGTATAAACTTTGTGTAATGCAGTGTGTTTTAACAGTTTGATGTGATTCAGATTCCTGAATATCTACGCATGAATCCCTTTTGTTCTATTTAGGGACTGGTGGGCTTTTAAAACACATCCATAAATAAACAGTGCCTCAAAGGAAAGGCAAACATGCAGAGCTTTACAATTAGTAAGGTTCATACACAGGGTACATTTTCTGAATTCCTTCCTGGGTTGCTGGGTCATTACACATTAAAATGACTTAAAATGAAAAAGGTGCACAATGTGATGTGATGAGGTGAAATTCCTCTGGTCTGACTTTATACACATTAAAATATCTAGACATTAATGACACACTGATCAAATGATAGAACAGCACATGATGCTCTGATTTTAGCATAGCAGGAACCATTGGGACAAACATCAGCCAAAGCTCCCTGGAAATGTTAGGAATGACACCAATTTATACATTCTACAGTAAAGGGAGAAAATGAGGAAGTTCAGCTACTGCTTCTTCAGTAATATCCCATAAACACACTCCTTGGCAAAAAGATAAATTCAGACACAGATTCTCACAAACAATTTGAAATCCTGCAAACAAGTAAAATGAAAAGCCTTGCAAGCTGCTGCCAGGGTCAATGTTGGAGTAAATGGGGCAGCATTGGTTAGCGCTGCTGCCTCACAGTGCCAAGAACCCAGGTTCGATTCCACCCTCGGGTGATTCTGTGTGGAGTTTGCACATTCTCCCTGTGTCTGCGTGGGTTTCCTTCGAGTGCTCCAGGTTCCTCCCACAGTCCAAAGATGTGCAGGCTGGGTGGATTGGTCATGCTAAATTGCCCGTAGTGTTCAGGGATGTGTAGATTAGGTGGGTTATGGGAGGATGGGTCTGGGTGGGATGCTCTGAGGATCAGTGTGGACTTGTTGGGCTGAAGGGCCTGTTTCCACACTGTAGGGATTCTATGAAATTCTATGAATAAATGATGAGGGGAAACATGAGGAAGACTGGTTGAGTAGTTGCCAAGTTATGGAGCTAAGTGTCATTGTTAGAACTTGCATCAAGTTACCAGAAATTGTGTGTTGGCTCAGACACAGTTTACTTATGATCATTTCTGATATTTGTAAATTTTTCACTGTACAATCTCAACAGATTTTCTTGTGATTGTGTTGCCAGATATTCGAGGGTTGCAAAGCTTCCTGGATCAAGCTTCTCGCCAGGGATTGGATGTATCTCTGCAGAGAATCGATCAGAATATAAGTCAAATCTTTGCCAATCTCTTCACCACAATGAAAACTGAGGAGCTGAATCGTTATCGAGACACACTACGCCGGGCCGTCCTCCTGCTGAGCCCGCGAGGAGCCCAGACATTTGTCAATGAGGTCAGTGACCAGCGCAAATCAAAGCTGGATCTACAGGGAGAGAGTTAAAAAGGACAAATGTCGTAGGTGCCAAACCAGTCAGAATTGTCTGAGCTCCCAATTTTAATTGTTCTAATGTCCCTTGTGTGATTTTCACGGTAAAGGAAGTTGTCATTTTTGAAATTCAAAGCTTTCTCAGAGTAGACACAAGTCCCTCAATGAGATTAACTTTCTGGAGGCTAGGTCTTTACTTTATAGATAGTAGTTTTTAAAAAATGTCTTCATGACTGTTTTTGCCTGTTAGTGAAATAATTTACAGAGAATATATTACTTCAGTATGTGACATGTTAGAATCTTTAATTTTAATTTATGAGAGTTGTCGACACTGTAATACCTCAGCATCCAAGAGGATCATTGTGTTTCTGGCTGATGTCACTTACAAAACCATGTCAATGACAAACAACAGACATTGAAGCATGTCTCCCCAATGGGAGGGGCCTTTTGAGGTACCGCTGTGGGAGTTGGGGTGGGGGGGTGGGAGAATTTGATGGGGTGGGGTGGAACAAACCATCACAGTTGGTTTTCTGGCTATGTTCGGATAATTAATGCTGGAAATGAATGAGGCCAGACTCACCCAGCTGGACAACAGGAAAAGGTTTGGAAACAATCAGTGATGAGCACTGCAACCAAAGCAGCACTAACTTACCATGGTCACAGTCGCTGTATATTTACAACATCGATTAGGGCTCTTTAATAACTGTGGCTGAGGGGAAATCTGACTGCAGAGGTTCCGACAAGGGCTACAGGAAAGACTGGCACAGATTTTGGAAATAACATGTTTAAGGACTTTGAAGAGGAAAGTAAAATTGGAGCTGGGACATTTAATAGCAGTCAGGGTGATTGTCATTGAGAAGGAGTTGATGAACTGTGGTCTTGAACCTCTGCAGTTTGTGCTGTATGTAAACCCACAATGATGTTAGAGAGGAAGTTCTGGGGTTTTGACCAGGCAGTGGTGAAAAAAGAGTGACATATTTCCTGATTAGAGTGGTATGTCAGCTGACAGTATCTGGGAGCTGTTGGTGCTATCACATCTTCACTGCCTGCGTCTTTCGTAGTTGTGAAAGTCTCCGGTTTGGCAGATTGAAGGAAGCTGGGTGAATTGTGTAGTGTTAGCCTGTGCTGTGCTGGCAAATAGAGTGAAAGTGGTCGATGTGATACCAATGAAGCAGCTGCTTTGTCCTGGGTCATGTCAAGCTTCTTGAGTGTTGTTGGGGCTGCACTGATCCAGGCAAAATTCCGTCATACTCCTGACTTGTGCCTTGAATATGAAAAAGAGGCACTGGGAACCAGGAGGTGAATTTTTCACCACAGAATATCTCTCCCTTTGCCCTGATCTTGCAGCCACCGAATTAATATACAGTTGAGTTTCACTGGGTCGGTGGTGGCCCCAGTCTCAGGCGGCTCAGTGATTACATTGCTTTTACAAAGTATTAAACTTTCTCTCTCAACGGAGGCGGTTACTGCCCAGAATGTTTTTGTGTAAATCTTACTTCTCACTTTTCCCGCTGTTTCGACCAGCCCCATGATTCTCCATTGCAGGTGATACACTTCAAATTGCTGACCTCCTGGGTAAGGAGGGATGAACTGTCTCTCCTCCTTCATTAATCTACACCCCTCAGTGTGCCCTCCTTTGTGGATTAATTTCTCCCAGCCCCAAAAGAATTGATGTTTTAGGAGCCAATGTAACCAAGCTTTCTTGAGTCAACAGAAAGTATGTTTATTAGTTCCTAAATGCAAGAAGAAACATGACACACATGGACATAGATTAGAAATGAGAAACTAGTTTGGGATAATATTTTAGAAATGAGTCTAAAACAAAGTTAAAAGAAATATATAAATCAGTCTCTTGGTCATTCATCGAGTAGGTAATGGACCATTGATGGTTTGGCTTTGGGATTTTTGGGATTCTTGACCTTACAGGTGATTTCAAATCCTTTTGTCTTGTTCTGTTTCCTTTAGATAGTGGTTTTCTGGCAGCACTCAGAGTGAGAGAGTCCTTATTTTGTCCTGCTTCCTATTGCCTGACTTGCTGCACAGCAGGCTTCTGGGACTCAGAGTGAGAATGTCCTTTACCTGCAATGCAGGGATCACCTTTAGGTATTCTTTGACCATGTTGTTCATAGCACACAGCTCTCAAACCCAGGCTGGTACACATGAATACCTCAGCTCAGGGTCACACCTTCTTCCATGAGCATCCAAAGACCAGGGTCAAACTGGCTTTTAATTAATCTGGACAATTTTCCCCATTTTTTTTTAAATTCACTTGTGAGATGTGGGCATTGCTGGCTGACCTTCACAGATGCTAGTGCTGTAGTTATACTTGAACAGCTTGGCTAGGAGTGTGGAAAGTTCTGGAGTACACTCTTCTGTCTTATTGCTGGGATGTTGTCAGGGTCCATCACCTTTCCAGTATTCAACGTACTCAGTCATTTCTTGATTCCGCGTGGAATGAATCAAATGGGTTGAAGATTGCAGTCTGTGATGCTGGAGTCCTCAGGATGAAGACAAAATAGATTATCCATATGATAGTTTTGATTGAAGATGTTTGAAAATGCTCCAGCCTTGTCTTTTGCTCTGATGCATTGCATTATGGTACTGTTAAGAACAGGGACACTTGAGGTCTTCTCTCATTGGTTGCTTTATTGTCCAAAACAATTTTTTTTCATTATTTTGCTGCTTGTGCTATATCTTCACCGGGCAGACAACTCATTTTTAGCTATGCCCATGCTGCCCCAGTATGCCACCCTTCACTCATCATGGAACTGCAACCAATCCCTGGCTTCATGGTAATGATAATGTGAGGAATGGATTTGGTGTGAGGTTACACATTGAGCCCAATTACATTTCTGCTGCTACTAATGTTTTATGAATGTCTGCTTTTGTGTTGCTAGACTGGGCTGAAGGTATCACAATTAATAACATTACTTCCACACAACAGGGTGGAGAGTGTCTTCAGTGTTAGCACAAGAGTCTGTTACTACTAAGTAATGGTCACTCCTGTCAATACTCCTTGTTACCAGTGGCTTCCAGCTCTCTGTGGTTTTTGGCTGTTCATAGATGTCCAGTGTGCAACCAGCACCCTGCAGTATCCATGTGCCATTCGAGCAATTTCAAATCACAATCTATAATGAGGTGTTGGAGCCTTCATTAGCATTGGATGGCCATCAGGGCTGTCTCAGTACTGCCTGAGCCATCATGTTCCTTGATATCTTTCTGGCGCTTTTGGGCACAGATCCAAAGAGATCCAATTTCATGAAACAGTTCATAGTCTGTGAAATGAATGAAACCAGATTCCAGTTTTTGCCTTCAACATAAAATATTTAAATACATTTTACTTTGCCTTATTCGCAATGTTGAGTTGGCTAGCTCTTGCAGATTCATTGAGGCATTGAGCAATAAGCTGAACAGCTAAGAGTTGACTTCCAGCAAGCAACAATTCGCACACTCACGTTTCTTATATACCATATTCAAATTTATTGGATGCTATTGAGGAGCAGGTAGTTACCATTCCAAAGAAAGAATGAACAATCTTCGGTTTGGACAATATATTAGGATAATGAGCCATTATGTTGTGTAATGCCACTATTCTGGCAATAGTGTCTACCAGCATTGCTGAATAAATTCAACATCCCTGTGTTTTTTCTTAATTGATTCATGGGATGAAGGTATTGAAGTCTAGGCCAGCATTTAGAGTCACCCACATTGCTGTGGATCTGGAGTTGCATGTAAGCCATATCAGGTAAAAATGGCAGTTTCCTTCCCTAATGGTCATTGGTGAACCACAGGGTTTTTTCCCAGCAATGGTTTCTTGGTCACAGTTAGATTCTTAATTTCAGATTGTTCCTTTTTTATTGAATTCAAATTCTACCATGGCAGGATTTGAGACAGGTCACTGAGACATTATGTGGGTCTCTGGAATAACAGTCCAGTGATAATGCCACTAGGCCATCACCTCCACTGTACACCTCCCTCTGTACATGACAGAGAGAAGCAAAAGCATCCAGTCATAAATTCAGCACTTTCCCAAAGGGAGAAACCAGTAAATCAAACAGTAATCCATGGAAATTCTGGTCATTATGGAGCTTCACTTTAAAATACATAAAAAACTATAAAATATATTAAAGTGGTAGGCGTGTGGAATGCGCTGCTAGCAGTGGTAGTGGAGTCAGATACTGTTGAGAGTTTTAAGTGACTCTTGGATAGGCACATGGAGGATAGTAAAATGTAGGGTATGCAGGTTAGTTTGATCTTAGTAGGATAATAGGTCAGCACAACATCGTGGGCCGAAGGGCCTGTACTGTGCTGAACTGTTCTGTGTTCTATGTACTATGTTCTATAAGACAAGTGGGACCAGAATGATTCAATCACCGGTTTCACTGGATTTTCCTTCTGGATCAGATCCAGATCATTAGATAGGGACAACAGCCTGGTTTCCTCATCTGTTCATGCTGGTAACAACAAATTTCATTGACATAGCACCTCTAACATCAGGTTAGAGGTGTTCTCAGGTACATAAATCAGGCATAAATTAACTCTAAGTGACACAGGAAATATTAGGATAGGTGCAAAAATTCAATTGAAGAGGTAGGTTTAAGGGGTATCTTGAAGGTGGAGAGATTCGGGAAGAGAACTTTGGAGCTAATGGCCAAGTCAGCTGAAGGCATGGCTGCTGTTACTGAAATGATGGGAATTGGGAATGTACAAAGGGCCGAAATTGGTGGAGCACATGATCTCGGAATTCTGGTGAGCGGGACCGAATGGAGGTGGGTGCAAGGGGATGTTGGGAACCCACATTGGATGGAATCAAAAAGAAGGATGAGATTTTTACATTTTTTTTTAGTTGATCAAGAGCCGTTATAAACCCTATCAAAGCACAGAAAATGCCTATTTTGGTACAACTCCCAAAGAAATCTTTTCTTGTTCACTTTATCCCCCAAATACTGTATTTATGAAGATATACA